GGCTCCTTACCAGACTGCCGGTGGGAGCACAGCCTGGAGCTTGGTTACCCCTCCGTCTATGGGGACCAGGAACTGCACATTGTTGAGGGCCACAGCCGTTGTCATTGCATCCGTGTTGTATTTGTAATCTATGCGCAGGTCAGTGCTTGCCAGCTCACATCGCCAGTTCACTGCCAGGTTCAGCGGCGTGGACTGAATGCCCTGGGCAGACACCTTGCCAAAGACAGGAAAGAGAAGGTTTAAGGCTTAACCATTAATCAGAAACAAAACCAGAAGCTGTGATTATCTCCCACTGGAATGTTCTTAGATATCAAAATGCCATGGTGTTGTTTGTACTGCTCACAAATGCGTGCTCAGTGAAAAATCACTGTGAAGGGTGCCACACAGGGGAGAGCTGGGCGCTTCATGTAAACTGTTACAGATTAAAAACACAAAAAATCAGTTACTAAAATCTCTGTTGCACTTTAGAGTTTACAGTGCACTTAATGTCAGTTAGGGAGATGGTAGCACACTGTTTGGGAGTTGAGGTCAACAAGGCAGACAGCCCTGAGTGTGAATTTGTTTTTAAATAAGTATAGCTGATGTACAATATTTTATAAATTATAGGTGCACAATATAGTGATTCACAATTTTTAAAGGTTATGCTCCATTTATAGTTATTGTAAAGTATTGGCTATATTCCCCATCTTGTACAGTACATCCTTGTACTTTATTTTATATCTAATAGTTTGTACTTCTTAATCCCCTACCCCTATATTGCCCATTCCCTTCCCTCTCCCCACTGGTGACCACTAGTTTGCTTTCTCTATATTGAATCTGCTTCTTTTTTGTTATAGTTGTTGTTTAGATTCTACATATAAGTGATGCAATGCATATTTGTCTTTCTCCATCTGACTTATTTTGCTTGGCACAATGTGCTCCAAGTCCATCCATGTTGCTGAAAGTGGCAAAATTTCATTCTTTTTAATCGCTGAGTAATAGTCCATTGTGTGCGTGCGTGCGTGCGTGCGTGTGTGTGTATCACATCTTCTGTATCTATTCATCTGTTGATGGACACTTAGGTTGCTTCCATATCTTGGCAATTGTAAATAATGCTAACTATGAGCATTGGGTTTCATGTGTCTTTTCAGATTAGTGTTTTTGTGTTTTTTTTGGTTGGCTGGGTTGAGTTCTGATTGTAACTTACAAGCTGAGGGATCTTGGAACAGTCACTAAACTGCTCTGTGCCTCAGTTATTTCCTCATCTGCCAAATGGGAACTATAATAGTAACATTTATACCTACAGTTGTTAAGAAGACTGAAGGAGAAGTTTTATGTGATAGACTCAGGATAGTGCCTAGTATATGGTAAGGAATTAACATTTTAATATGTTATCTATTAATATTCTCATCATATTTGCTCCTCACAAACCAGTGAGTTAGAGCAAGCAAGTTATGATTATTCCTTTGGAATTTGCCAAAGTGAAGACTTGAACCCCAGTCTTCTAACAGGCAGTGCTGTATTCTACTGTCTACTGTCGATTCTAGTTAGAATCAACTGTGAATTTGACTAAAGAAAAGCCAGGTTTGAAGAATCAACATAAAGTTCGAAAGGTAATAATATCAACTTGAATCCTGGGTCTGTAGTGAAAAATTTGCAGTGTTGTCTAATTCTGGTTCCCTTTTATAAGTACACACGCACTGCAGGGGCCATGTGGGCGATGTCTGTGCCCCTGCAGTTTTATTCATAGAGTATGAGTTCTGCTGACTTTGAAGAATATAAACAGCTCTTTATTGGACCAGCAATGCCTGCGCACATAGACACCATGGGGAAGGATACTGAAGGCAGGATGAGCTTATAAAGCAAGAGTGGTTGCTACAGAAGGAAACCCAGAAATGGATTCTTTTATAAATGACAGACATAACATAATTTTATTTAGCTAACCATTATAATAAAAGCTTTAAAACTTCATAGTAAACTCTGTTATAAGCCTTATAATAAAGTTTAAAACTTTAAATATTTTTAGCAGCCCATTTCTCTGTAAATGAACTTTTACTTAGAAATCTGTTATTTAAGAAAGCTCAAAAGCCAGGCAGACTCGATCTCCCCACCCGTCTCCACACTCTGTCCTCAGCAGGAGTTCCTCTACCCCGTGAGGTGCTTTATGGCTATGTGACTGTCCCCAGTCACTGGGGGCGCTGCTGGGGGCCAGAAAGTAAACAGGCTGTGATGTGAGGATGATCCCACTGAATGCTACTTTATGCCTCCCAGCCAGTCCCTTGCATTGTTGAAAAACAGTAACAACATAACTAACCCACAAGAAAAGAGGTTCTGCAGAGCACCTTTAAAACAAAGTGGCGGGCCGAGGACTGCTGACATTTCAGGGCGTGCTTTGAAATATGTTTGGTTGTTAGCTCCTCACAACCTACAAAATACCTGGGCAGGAATCATTTGTACCCTTATTTGCAGATGAGGAAACTGAGGCGCAGGGAGATGAAGGGCCCAACCGAGGTCAGTGGACAGTAGGAAGCTGACTTCGTTCCAGAATTCAGTCTCTTGCCTATGTTTAAATACTTTACACCAAGATCTTTTTGAGATAGGTGAAATCTGTCTACTTTCTAGGTTTTGTTAGAATGTCCAAAGCTTAGACGATATTAGTCTTACTAGAAGAACATTATAGTCATTTGCATTTTTGTGAAATGTACCATCACATAGATACTTTACTTTCAATGATTTCCTTACAACAATATAAATACGTTGTTTCCAATCCATAGTGTGTATTATAACTTGGAGGACTTGTAAAATAATATCTATACCTTGGTCACATCCAGAACCAATGAAGTCAAAATTTCTGGAAGTGTCTGGGCCCAGCAAATATCTCTGTCTCTGTCTCTCTTCTCATCCCCATCCCCATCTCCATCTCTGTTCATCTATAAATAGATTTTAATGATAGGTGTCTATCCTCTATCTGTATCTATCTATAATTAACACCGATTCAGAAGCAGCATTTGTTGATAACTTCCCTGGAGATTGTAAAGTGCACTCATGTTTGAGATGCACTGATTTCTACTAAAGTACAACTTTCAAAAATAATAATTTTGTTTCCTTATCTTAGGAAAAATAGTTTGAGCATATTTAATCACAAAAATGACAATGCACTAAAAATAACCTAGGAGATCAAGTGGGAATCAGTGGGACACTCAGGCTCTAGAGAATCATGGTTTGAAATAGGCTTATTTATAAGATCAGTAGTACTTCGGGGTAAGGGCAAACCTCAGCACAAAAAGAAAGCCCTCATATCCTAGAATGTGTTGTACTAAACATTCTTTTCACATTAAATCATTTCTTAACATAAGTTTCATTAAAATTTATTTCATAGGACTATGACATTATGAAAAAACATCAGACTACTTACACTGAATCATTTAAAATAAGAGATTTTAGCACAGCACTGCTCTTAACAAAATTACAGTGAAATTGTTTGTCAATATTTGTAATCTTAATTGATGTAATTTCTGCAAATTCATTTTTGTGGCATGTTTCTCTAAATTTTAATACAATGTTTTACTTACAAGTTTAAACTATTAAGAATATGTATGAATATTCCTGTCACTAAATAGCCTCCAAATAGTCTTTTAAGGTTTCCATTTTCTTATAAATTATAGCTTTTAAATCGTATTAAAAGAGATGTTACTTTATGGACTTTCATTTAATGTTAGATATGTTAGAACACACATTTGTAATGTGAAAGAGATGCCCTGCCCATATAAATAGGCTTACCTGATATTTGAGCATGTCCACATTATAGTATGTAGCCTGGGGTTTTTGTTCTGATACTTTCTTTAGGTGAGTCATCAAATTTGGCATGTTTACCCAGAATTCCTTGGTGTTGGCATCATTTTGGGTATTATCACTATTCAATCGGGAAGAAGGAATAATTGAGTAGCATCTTGTGACAAACATGAATCACACAGAAAAGCATCTTAGCAAATTATCATCTGATTTCTATATCCATCTTTGACAATTTGTAGAGATTCTATTATCGACAATAGTATAGTTCTAGTAAAATTGCAGCTCTGAATTGTATTATGTTAATAGATTAATACCCATGGGAGGCATTATTGTATTGCTATAAATCTTAGTGAGTACCTAGTAATATTAACCAATCATGATGATAATTGCTTGCTTTCAAGAGTGAATTATTTATTAACCCAAATCTAATAGCTCTTTCTACATCACCACAGTTTCCCCTGAATTAGTCAATTAATGTAATCAAGGAGCTTAGTACATTGATTTTTCTTCTGAATTGTCTTGAGTATTTTCTCAGAAATTACAGAGTTAAATATTTGGCCAAATGTAAACATGGTCTTCATTTCCAACTGAGGAGAAAAAGGTGAGACTAAAATTACCTTGCTACCTTTTTAGCACCGATAGTTCATCTGAAAGCATCTAAGTCATAAAAAAAACCTCACTTACAAGATAATCCTGGAATTTAAATGATAATAATCACGGTAGTTAGACTAGAGAGTGCAGTCTTGACGAACTAAGGAGTTTTGTATTCCTATGAGAGTTGTCAGCTTTGCTCAGAGGCTTATCCACAGGCCACTCACCCAGTGAAATTATTTCTTGAAAATGACTCAATGACAAAAAAAAATCAAGCAAGATGTGGAAAGCACCTGCTCACTTCCCTCATGATAAGGAAACTGAGGGCTCAGTAACTTACTGACATTTCCCTCTCAGAATAGCCTATATAATACAATGATAGCAGCTATAATTTTTTGACCACTTGTTAGGTGCTAGGTGCTCCATTATTTCATATTTTATTAAAATCTACCCTGCAAAGGGAGAATTATCTTCCTTTCTAAAGTTGAGCAAAAGTTATAAAAAGAGAAAATTAGAGGTTAAGAAGACAGAAAGGCGTGATAAAGTAAAAGACAGGTCAAAAGTAAGTTGCTCTGATTTAGCCTCCAGAAGTCAAACAAACCAAGAGCTGAGTCAACAACGACAAATCGGAGCCTTAAAACTGCTCCCGGTCTATTAGGAGGGAGTGGCTGTGGGGGCCTGTCTCAGCATAGCCCAGAGGGTTCTGTTGCTCCTGGTGTATGCTGTTGAGGACAAAGCAAAGCCCCATGACTGGGTGCGTAGGAAGCAGACGGAAAAGACTCCTGACCCCTAGACTTTGCTCCTGGCCAGGCTAAACTAAGGATGCTGATAAGGGCTATCTAAAATGTTATCATGCAAAGCACTCAAGTTACCCAGAACTTCCAGAGCAGTAGGGACACAAAGAGGCAGGAGATAAGAGCAATGGGGTGCAGCAAAATTAAGTAATTTGTTTAAGGTTGGGTAGCTAATAAGTAACAGAGTCAGATTCCAGCCCAGGTCAGTCTTACTACAGGTCATACTCTCACGCAATACCAAAAGAGGTGCAGAATTAGTGCCCGGAAGCATGCCATTAATCTGTGCTAAGTAAATGTGAATAACAGAAAATCTCAATTATACGTTTAATCACAAAATAAGCTAAGTCCTAGGTCTATGATAATTCCTCAGAGAACTTGTTGTAATAAATACTCAAGAAAGCATTGCCAATCAAAAGCTTACACAGGGATGTCATTCTTGAACGCTTTAGAGTTCTTGAGAATTCTTTAGACTCACGGTTGGTTTAACAACTGTTCCTGAACATCTTCTGTAAGCCAACCCCTTTCACAAGGGAAAAGTAGAAGTACATTTCAATTTGGTTCCTGTCACAGGGACTGCAAACCCAAGTGTCTTCAGAGGCCAAGCGGCTAACCTACATATCTTTCACTGAAGGTAACTGAGAGGAGTGTCTGGGGATAAGACGACAAATGAAAATAGGCTTGAACTGCATTTGAGAACAATGCTTGGTTCAACTGCCTTTTAAAAAGCTAGGTGTGGCGGTGGTGGCGGTGGAACAGCACTGCCTGACTAAACCCAACAGGCCCGATGACTCATGGGCCACCAGTCACAGCCCCGATGCAATCATCAAACATTTAGAGTTAATAAAGTCCAAGTTAATTAATAAGGATTTGTTTTTTGTTTAAAAAGAAATTTAAGGGTCTGTATAACATTTTGTCAAACAATAACATTCTCAGCCTGATATTTAATTCAATTCGTAAGACTGATAAATTGAAATAAGTATAAAACTCTTACACATGTCTAAGAACTTGGCAACACAATTGCTTAAAAATGCAACAGAAACTATAATTCTCCACCAGTGACATTTACAAACACACTGATAAGAGGGTGGCACATAAATCCTAATTCCAGATGGAGGAACTTAGAAAAATAAAATTAACTGGCTCAATGTGCACATCAGAAACATGGAGGGAAGCTGAAACAAGAAGTTGCCCATTTCCAATTTTGATCATTTTACATTTATTTTTCATTTAATGGGTGAGCATTTCTTTTACAATCTTAAGCTTGGAATCAAGTTTGTCGATTAAGGCACCACAAGGACCAAAGAGAAGGGGGTGATCTTGGTCATCACCTGAAAGACCTGTGACTGGTTTTTTCACCACTGGAACGAAACAGTCTCATTTAGTCAAGAAAGAAAGTGACTATATTGGTCCTCAAATTCCAGACACCAACAACCTTTAGTGAATTTTCCACAGATATCCTGCTTGACTAAGTTCTTTAAATTATAGTTGAATTGTTCATTCATATTCAACAAATACCACTCAGGTCCTTATTAGGCATAGTGGACGGTGCTGAGGCTGCGGTGGTGGACTAAGGGATGTGTCCTATTCCCTCATGGGTTTTACAGTCTAGTGGGGGAGATGAATGAAGGACACAAATAGATATGTAATTACTAATTATAGTAAGTGTGACAAACGGAAGAATAGAGAACCCTGAGAGAGAACAGCAGACAATATGATTTCATCTGGGAGTGGGGAGGAGAGTGGGATGGTCATAGGAGGTAGAGCGGAGCTGAGATCTGACGGATGAGTAGGAGTCCAGTAAAGAAGGATGGAAGTCCTATTAGAGGCAGAGCCTTGATGTGGGAAAGCACTCAGCTTGTTCCTAAGACTGGCAGGTCTGGCTGGAGCTACAGGGATTCTGAGGAGGACAGTATGGGAGATGAGGACAGAGAGTCAAGCAAGAGTGCATGACTCAGGGCTTCCAAGGCAACAGTAACAAGTTTGGATTCTGGTACAGATGCAACGTGAAGCCACCAGAGGACTAAGAGCAAGGACAGCCTGATTTATCTCAAAGAAAGGTCATTTGGCTGTTGTGTGTAGTTGTGGAGCAACTGGATGCCGGGAGGGAAGGAGGAGAGCATCTGCTGTGGTCCAGCGAAATGATAGTCAGCATTTGGATAGGAGAAGTCATGATAAAGGGAACAAGTGGCCGTTTAAGAGAGAGATTTTTTAGATGGAATATCAAGACTTGATGGTGGAAAAGGCTGTCAAGAATGATACCTGATGTCTCAGCCAGTGCCAATAATTAACTTGTATAGTGGATCATTTTTAATAGCATGTATGTGTGTATTTGTATGACTGCCATGTGCATAAATATGATAAAGACACAATCAGATTTAATAGGAAATGTGAAAAAGGATATTTATATAAACAAATTCACATAAGTTTCTTTGACACAATATGTGTAAAGTTCTATCAAAACAGTGGCCATTACAGTGCAATGAAATTATATGTTTCACAAAAGAGAGTTTAAGCTTATATGAAGAGTAGCTCACAGTTCAAATATCATTTGATTTTAAAAGATGCTAATACAACAAATGGATTTTATTCTTTTGATTGAGCTGACTTCTCATCATCCTCATCTATTGTTTACCAATGATAAGCAAAACAGACAATGAATAAATTGTCACTGATGCAGATTTTATTAATCTAAATGTCTCTTTAGCCACTTGAGATAGTTGGCCATTAAAATACATATATGCACGCACACACACATCACCCACCAAAAACTTTGACAGCTGGTAAAAGATCTTGGTTTGAATCTATAAACATATCCGAGTAGTGGTAATTTTTCCATGGTGCTTCTCTCTTGCTAAGGTCTACCCCTCATCTAAGCATAAAGTGCTAAGCCACACACATCTCTAAAAAAATCTGTGCAAAATATATTTACCAGCAGAGAAGTTGGGGATTTGGCAGGACGTGTTCTAACCTGCTGAAATTTATCACCCGAAAAGTCAGAGCAGCTGGCGACGGGTTGTTGGCAAAGTGTCTGGTGATGCCGGCAGGAAAGGACAACACCATTTCTCCAGTAATCTTCACGATACACCTGTCATGTCACAACATGTGAGAGGGAAGAGAGGAAACCCAGGTCAACAAGTTGTGAATCAAAGCAGCTGTGAAACGCAAGGATTTATGGAGCAATATGACACAGCAGAAGAGAGAAAAAGTTCTTAAAATTGACTCTCCACTACTGAATCATTTCTAAGACCCAAGGACTCAAAGGTTGGTTTTAACATTTATCCAAAAAAAAGTGGCTATTTTGTTGAAGATGTTTTTGGACAGTACGAAGAAGAGTGCAGCTTTCCTCTTTCTGGAGAGAAGTCTGTATGTTCACCTCACAAATAGAATCATCTGTTCTGGTGGTTCTCTCTCTTTGATTTCTGAATGGTTGGCAGCGTATTTGAAGATATGGAATTGCACGATGTTGTCACACTATTCACTGGAATTGATTCTAGTTCTCTGGGTACCGTGACTGATGCCTTGAGCATGTTCTTTTATATGCTCGTGAGGTAAACTTCTTGCTTCCCACTTTATTAGATCTTCATTCCATTAACTTGTCTATTTGGGTGAAATTGTAAAATCAGTCATGTACATAAGTTAACACAGTTCGATGATAATTTGGAAGGAATAACCCTTTCTTTAAAAAAAAGGGCTTTGTCCCAATGTTCATATCAGCACTATTTACAATAGCCTAGACATGGAAGCAACCTAAATGTCCATCAACAGATGCCTGGATAAAGAAATTGTGGTGTATTTAGACAATAAAATAATACTCAGCCATAAAAAAGAATAAAATAATGCCATTTGCAGCAACATGGATGGACCTGGAGATCATCACTCTAAGTGAAGTAAGCCAGAAAGAAAGAAAAATGCCATATGATACCACTTATATGTGGAATCTAAAAAAAAAGAAGGACACTATGAACTCATCTACAAAACAGAAAACAGATTTGCAGATGTAGTAAACACCCTTATGGTTACCAGGGAGAGGGGGTGGGAAGGGATAAATTTGGGAGTTTGAAATTTACAAATGTTAGCCACTATATATAAAAACAGATTTTAAAAAAGTTTCTTCTATATAGAACAGGGAACTATGTTCAATATCTTGTAATAATCTTTAATAAAAAATATATGAAAATGAATATATGTATGTATATGCATGACTGGGACATGTGCTGCACACCAGAAATTGTCTGTACAATGACTGACTGTACTTCAATAAAATAAAAAGGAGACTTTGTTGATGAAGAGTTGGTATATAATAACTGGCACTTACTTATAGTGTAAAAGTCCACAATTTTTGACCTGCTTTACACCTGTGAAACCATCACACAATCAAGATAATGAAGATATCCAACACCCCTAAAAGTTTCCTCCCGCATTTTTGTCATTCCTCTCACCTGCCCTTCTCCATCCTTTCTCTCTCCACTCTTCGGCAATTGCTAATATGTTTTCCGATACTCCACATTAGTTTGCACTTTCTAAAATTCCATATAAACAGAATCATAAGGTGTGTGTTTTTTTTTGGTCTAGTTTTTTTCCACTCAGCATAATTATTTTGAGGTTCATCCATGTGCTGTGTGAATCAATAGTTCATGGGTAACATATGGATATGCCACTGGTTATTTTTTTAAAATTCATTCACTTGCTGAAGAATATTTGGATTCTTTCCATTTTTGCCAATTACAAACAAAGCTGTGATGGATATGTGTGCACATGCCCTTATTTGTCTTGGATAAATATATGCGTGAGATGGTTGGATCACACGGTATGTGTACCTTTCACTTTTGAAGAAACTGCCAAGCTGTTTTCTGAAGTGGAAAATCCAGCTGTGTATGAGAGTTTCAGTTCTTCCATATCCTCACCAACACTTGGTAGGATCTGTCTTTTAAACTTTAGTCATTCTAGTAGGTGAGCACTGGTCTCTGTTTCAATCTACATTTCCCTAACGGCTAATGATCTTAAGCATCTCTTCCTGTGCTTTTTTGTCAACAGTTATCTACTCTGGTGAAGTGCCTGCCCAGTTTTTCTGCCAAACATTTTTTTTAAACTGAGTTTTCTGTTCTCTTATTGAATTTTGAGTTTTTTTTTTTTTGTACTTTCTGGATACAAATGATTTAAAGGATACATGTTTTGCAAAGATTTCCCCCCTCAATCTCTGACTTGTTTTTTTCTTTTTCCTAAGAGTAACTTTGAAGAACAGAAGTTTTAAATTCATCAATTTATTCTTTTATGGGTTGTAGCTAATCAATTTACTCTTTTGGAGTCTTATCCAAGTCTTTGTTAAATCCAAGGTCACAACAGTTTCACCTATACTTTATTCTAGACATTCTTTTTTTTTAATTTTTAGCTTTACATTTAGCTTTGTGATCCATTTTTAGTTAATTTTTGTATATTTTCTGTGAGGTGTAGGTCCAAGTCCATTTTTTAGCGTGGATAGGCTATCTAGTTCTGTTAGTACTATGTGTTGATTTCTCCACTTGGCAATTTTGTTGAAATACAGTTATCCATTTATATGTGGGTCTATTTCTAAATTCTCCATTCTCTTGCACTGATTTGTTTTGTCTGTCTTTACACCAATACCTCACTGTCTTAATTACTGTAGCTTTAAAATAGTTCTGAAATCACATAGTGTTAGTCTACCACATTTGTCCTTTTTCAACGTTGTTTTGGCTATTGTGATTCCTCTGTATCTCCACATTAAATTTATGATCCCTGTGCCAATTTCTACAGAAAAATCAATGTAATTCAAATTCACCCTTTACTGCCTGCTCTGAGAGAATTAGTATTGGGCCCTTTAATATATTTTTTCTTTGTCAAAGGTACTATGTTACGCTTTGTCAGCAGAGGGCACTAGACAGTCATTGCAGGAAGGAGAGTTTTTTGTTTTTGTTTTTTTCCTTCCTGGTTCCAGTGTGCTTGCTAGGCAGGCTCTTGCAGGACTCGGGGCTTGTTCAGGGCAAGGCCCTGGCAGTGCAGAGGCACGTGACACTCCCAGTGTTTAGGTGCTGCAGTCTGTCTGCTTTGCTGGTGCCCGGTGGCACTGGCAACTCCTGAGGTATGTGTGACTGAGCTGCCCCAGAGCCCAGCTCCTGCAGTGCAGACGGGGTCCCCAGCTCCAGGCTCTGGTCACATGCACACCTCCACAGCCAGGTTCTGCAGTGCACGGTGCTCAGCAGTGCCCTCCGGCCCTTCACGTCCTCTGGCACCTCCCTCTCTCCCCAGCCAGCCTCAGGGGAGAGCGCACCAGCGAGACGCCTCCTGTGAGCAGCTGGGGGTCTGCCGGGCTCTCCCTGCGCCATGGCCTTGAGGCTCTCCAGGAGGTCAGCTGGGGATCCTCTGGCTCACCCCACCTCTCAGGGCTCCGGGTCCCGGGTCTTGCAAATCATTGTTTCATGTATTTTGTCTGTTTCTGAAGTGTTTTCAGGTAGAAGAGTAAATTGGTCCCTGTTACTCCACCTTGGCCAGAAGCAGAAATCTCAAAAGAATTATTCTTCTTTGGGAAATGGTAAATATTTAAAATGAATGAACATCTTTGTGACTTCCCTATACATTTGGACAACCAACTTGTACCATTTCTACAACTGTCTAAGTTCAGGAGTGCACTAGAAAGGGAAATTGAGTTCATAAATGAAAACTTTGCTCACACGTGAATACTGGAAATTCTGTTTGCCCCATAGTCACCTCGTAGACCGTGTAGCTGACTGCTGAGCCCAAGTGGCTCAGGTGAGCTGGTCCTTGGTCCACATTCAAAAGCCTTGTATGTATAAGACTGGTTTGGGGAAAGGGCGGAGGGCAGGTGAACCTCCGAAATGTGCCATGTGCCCCCTCCTCCCTGCT